CTGATGCACCGTTAAGTTTATCAACTTGTATCAGTCAGTCGTCGTTGGTGCTGTCATCCACAATGAAAGGGAATTCCATGAACTCATGTGTCTTGTTCAGTGACTATGTTAGTATCGGTCCGTTTGAAAGGACGAGAGTCAGTGGTCAGTTTAGTGATGATAGGCAAAATGTGTATAAGAGGGTAATTGTTAAACTGCCTTGCACGAATAAAAGCCTTTCAGATTTCAAGTTGCTATTTGAATGTTATCATCTTCGATGTAAATTACTCTGTGCCTTCGCTTGGTTGGTCAGATACGTCATATGTTTGTTAGTCATCTATATCCCAAGACACAGTGTCATGGGCGTGTCACCATTCGAAATCTATGCTTGTGAATTTAGTGACCACAGTCAGGAAGTAAAGGCAGTTTTTCACCGAAAACAAATTCTCATACAAAAGAGAAATGTTCAGATGAATGTATCTTGTAATGGACCAGATCAGCACATGACATTCCAATATACACTATACCAAGAACCTGACGTAGAGCTGTAGATGCCCCTTATATGGCAACACTCCAAGATACTGGAGATTCCACTGCTACCTTTTTTGTCTACACATTTTTCCTTGGCTTTGATATATCTAATAAACAAATTAATACGCAATTACATACTACCACAGTGCCCACATTTTACACATATATCAGTGGTTAAATCTACAGTTTGAATGGTTTCTGATCAGACATAGCATAGTGCTGAACATCTCAATAACTCATGTAGGAATATTCCTAAAATTGATTGCTGATTAGTGTATCTTCATAGTACTTTAAATTCTATGAGCATTGTAAGTTTTAGACCATTAAATTAAACCGTTTCAAATGACAGTGACAGCTTCATTCGGCGTACTAAAATGATTGTAGATTTTTTAATCCTATCACCGTATAAACAGGTTTCTATGTCTCTTCATATCCGTCTCTTTTACGCATCCATTAAGTTTCAAAGAACAGTACTATTCAGTCATAACTACTGTTGAGCTACCTCTTTCGGACTTCGCAATGACTATGTTTTCGTCAGTTTTAAGATTGGTCAGAGACAACCTTTCTGATTTCGTTCAATTTCCTTTCTATTGTTTCAATTCCAATTTCCCGTCTCTACAACATGTTTCTCAATATATGTCCCCTGTTCTCACCATTAATGGGTTCTGGGGATTCCACTTGCTTCTGGAGCCATTTAGGAATATGCCCTGAAGCCCTTACTTGCAGAGATCGATAAGTCCTCACTATGTATGTGTGTCCACACGTACATTCAAATTGGTAAATACAATGGGATGTGAAATCATTTTTCGCATGTTCAAAGGGCCTAGATGGATATTTTGGCCTCACATTCTTAGTTATTATGATATTAACTGCATGAAAAGTCTTTCTGACCGCAGCTTTCAATCTTTGTCTAGCTGTCAAGCTGTTATGATCCCCCATATGCGGTAGCTTGATGTACACGTATTTATTAAGGGCGAGTTGTAGAATGGGTCTTGGTGTTCTGACTACTTTATATCTCCTGATGAACTTGTCTGGATAATTGTTATCAACCAGAGTTTGTGTCAACTTTCCTTCTTCCTCATCAAGTGTGTCTTCAGTGCATACTCGTTAGATTCTACTGAAGAGGCAACTTACTAAGACTCTTTTGTACCGAACAGGGTAGAAACTGTGATAATTAAAATACTGTCCTGTCCAGGTAGGTTTTCTATAAATAGATCGTTTTATTGACCCGTCAAGTCGTCGACTAAGCAATATATCTAGGAAGGATAAAAACAATTATCTTCCTCTTCTACAGACGTAAGTGATACGCTATTCTGAACTTCAATCATTCGAACAAGGCTTATCACTTATGATTACAGTGTCGTCTACATACCTTCTATAAAGTGGCACATTTTCGATTGAATCCTCCGATAAACTCTCAATGTACGACATATAGATGTCTGCTAGGAGGGGCCCTAACGTACTTCCTATAGCAATACCATCAACCAGACGAAAACAATCGCCTTCAAATGTAAACTTAACATTGCTAGTACATAGAAGTAATTAATCGCTTAAATAAGATATAGGGAAGGGGATGGAAGGAAAAAAGGAAAACACAAAGCAAAGAAGGGGTTGAAAATATTATGAAGTAGATTGATACTTGGTTCTAAAGTGGATTACCAAGGGAGGTTTAGAGTAATAACAAGTAACTTGTGGACGCATAAGACAGGTTTAAGTCTTCAAATAAATTCAATTATGCGACCCAACCTTGTTTTATATATGGGCTTAAAGGCATTGTTGAAATCAACAATGTGCTTCACTGTAGATGATGTTGGACACCTGTTTCCGGGATCGATTTTATTTGTTGTTGCAGACACTTTATAATTTGTTTTGTGGCCCTAACTTGCAGAGACACGTACTTAAGTACGGCTCATCATACTGAAGCTGAACGGACTTCATAAAATTCCCACTTGATGATGTGGAATTGCTCTCAATCCTCTACATTCATCAAGTGCTCTCTTGATGGAACTTCCGCAAAACAAAAGGAGTAAATTTTAAATGACGTTCGTGAGGCGTAGACTGATATTGAACTGAGTCAGATAAGGTGTGCTGAATAACACAGAGACTCTTGAGTGGAAAAGTAATGTGAAGTATAAGGGTGATTGCTCAATGACACCAGATACATGAAAGTCTGACGACACGTGAGATAACGCTTTACAAAACAGTACAGACGCGCTAGACTATATCATAACAGGAAAGAAAACGAATTCCTTTTCGTGGTGGTGACAGACTTGTTGGCAGTAGCACTGACTCTATCAAGGTTTTGCAATATTTGTTTGAAAATTTAGAAGCATGCTAAATTCTAAGTCATCGAAACCAGTGTTCCCACCTTACAGATAAGTGCGGTTGACTTCCGTGTCCTCTAACATATCTTGAGATCAGCAAGCACCACCCTTTCCTTTTCTGATATTAGTCTTCTTCTAGGCTGTACATTCGTGTATTTATATCAAATGGATAGGAAAGTTCCAGAATAATTGCTGGTTAGGGGTCAAATTAATAAAAATTACAATTAGGAATTAGAATGCCATAGTGAAGAAAATTTTCTTTTCGACGAAGTCATCATCTAGGCTGTACATTCGTGTATTTATATCAAATGGATATCCTAACCATGACTTCGTCGAAAAGAAAATTTTCTTCATTATGGCATTCTAATTCCTAATTGTAATTTTTATTAATTTGACCCCTAACCAGAAATTATTCTGGAACTTTCCTATCCATTTGATATTAGTCTGTGAGATTTTCATAGAAACTGCTCTATTAACATTGTGTTGCTTCATTCCTGTCACTGCGTCGGTGGCACAGTGGTTAGGACTCTCGCCGACCATGCACACGGTCCGAGGTTCGAACCCCTACCGACGCACACCTGATATCCATGGTCGGCCTGCAAAATTTGGGCTACCGATATCCACGCTGAAAATGTCATACTTGTACTGAAAATACGGTGTGGCATCAAGCTGTAATCAAAATCAAAATCAAATTTTAAAAATGTACAAGTGTTTTGTGAGAAATCGGGAAATTACATATTTTAGAGGGTGGGTAAGTATTAGTACTTAAACACCCGCAAAAGATAAGTCATGATATGTTCGTCACTTTAAAGCAACAACTGAGGAAATTAATCGTTAAGGCAGGCGTAACTATTCTGAGGAAAACATCCAGTTGGGAGAAAATTCTGTGCCATATTCAACAACCATGCTCACCAGCGACCTGCCCTGTTCAGGTAGGTAATTTCTTTGGTTCTAGTAAGAAGTCGAAACCAGCGGGATACGGCAGGTAGGGTGTGAGCACAGATACCAGCCGAGAACATCAGCTAGTGTTCATGCTATATCATCAGTTGGCAGAAGTTTGAATTTATGGGTCATTGGATTGGTTCCCAGTCGCTTAATGGTCTACGAGCTCACCTTATAACCGGAAGGTCTTCGATTCGAACCCCAGTGGGTGAGAACTGATGAAGAGGCCCAAGCTTGGAGGGCACAGATGTCCAGTACACCTACGGCGCCCACTAATTCCCTCACCAATTTCCTGAACACAAAAGAATCACAGGAAACCAATACTTGAATAACGAAGGAATACCTCAACTAGCCAAGTTATTCGTATTTCATCCTCATTGCTCACACATTTCACGACATGCCTAAGCAAACGTTTAACAACAATTTAGATGAGATACCAAAAAGCTAGGGTTGAAACGTATTGGATTGAATATCATGTCACTAACTCACCACTAAGACATTATCAAGCCCTAAAGCCGCCTGTTCGGAAGTGTTTCAGGGTATGCTGAAGAATCCTACAAAAGCAAACTGGCTACGAGGATACGGAAGTGGTGTCCGTTTAACATGAAACTTGGTGAGCGCTGGGGTCTGATTCCAATCTGTAATCTGAATCCAACTGCGTCTTCATGATCTCTAATGCACCTAATGCTGTGTCCGACTAAACACCGACAACGTATTATCAGATAGTCACATGTGAAGTCTTAGAAAGCTGTGTAAGTAGCAAAGTTGAATTTCCAAAGTACACGAACCGAGACAAGTGGTGCTTAACCGTGCAATGTACAACAAGACAATTAATGGCCAATGTGCGCTCACACAATGGCAAACATTCTCTAAGTATACATAAAACCAGTTTCTATAAAAGCATAACACATGTACATGAATTAGTTTTAGTAACGTTCGCTTAGAGTTAGTAGAAGGACAAGACAAACTATCAGACTGCATCGTTTTTATTGCATCCTTCTGTAGACGGCTTTACGGCACAAAAATTGGCAATATACTGCTCATATACTCTACAAATTCTACTCTTCCACCAATTCTCGACAAACATGTGGCGTTCCCGAAAGAGGCTGGAACTATTATGATGATTGATTTACTCCAGAGAAGACCTGAAAATAGAAATAAATACTATGAATGAACTAGTATAAGCCTAAACCATTTTCAATATCGAGCACGATATCGGTAGACCACACCGCGGCGTTAAAGGGCGGTTGGTTCATAATAGACGTTACTCTGATGGGTCGTTCTCGTAGTCGGTCACTTTCGAGTGGTCATAGGACTAAGCATAGGCGATACAGAAGTCGCTCAAGAGATAAAGTGAAAGAGCGCGATAGGTACCGGGATAAAGAACGAGATAGAATAAGATCAAGTCGAAACGAAAGGTCATATCGTGATCACCATCGTCATGAAAGACGACGCAGGTTTGTGGACTGTTTGAAAAAATTATTTTCTTGTAGGAAAAGGACCTCGTCACCCTCAAGCTATGATAGTGAAGTGGAAAGACGGAACCGAAAGTCGAGAATGAAGGAGATAGACAGAAAAATAGAAGAGGCACGCAGGAGAGAAGAGACTGAAAAACGCGCTCAAGAGCAAAGGGAAAGGTAGTTCTGATGTTATTCACAGCACCTAGGAGGCATTTTCTTTTTCAAACTAAAATTTCGACTCTACTGTGGCTCTATGTATGCTTGTTAATCAGTGTTACCACGAGTTCGAGAATTCGCGTCTGGACTGTCGACAAGTCCGTCTCTAGGTTATAAACAATAGATTTTTGACGAGAGTATATCATCTCACAAGGCCAAATTTCAAGGAAAAATGTAGTCAATCAATGAGATAACCTCAGTCAACATTCTCGGGGGGTCAAAATTCGGAACAAGGTCCTCAGTTGGTTGGGGAACATGTCACCACAAGGAAGCCTTTTCGAGATTTCCTCTCGTCCGAGGTATTTCATAGTGTATCAAAAAGTTAACTTAATGATGAGCCGTACATAATTTTATCATACAAAGGTTAAGGTTGCCGTGCATTTCTTCAGTCCACTAAGTATAACAGGTTAGATAATCCAATTGATATCATGTAGGTATCTGGTGATATTGTTTGTCCCAACGTAATCTTGTTGGGATTTTTCTCTTTAAGAGGCTGAAAGACACCCCTTTTAGTTAGTTGATACTTTGACAAGGTGGGGTTGGCGTATCATACTAACTCAGAGAGGTACACTACCTGGGGCCAATATCTTTTGTGCTAAAATACCGTGGAAGTCAGTTGCATGACATCAAGACAGTATGTGATTAGCGTCAGTGTAATTGGCCAAGATGAAGATGGCACTAATAGTAAGTGACAACCAGTAACTTTAAACTTATCAAGGCTTCCAAGAGTAATATGACTTCGATATCTGGAATGTCAGGTCAGACAGAGTACCACTTCGACTGGCTTGCATCAACTGCACAGTTACCTATCTTGCACTACTAGCTTAAGTGAGAGGTTAATTCTGCGAGTGTTTGCTTCATTCTGAAGTTGAACAGGTCAGCAGAACTTGGTAGTTTAACTCCAGTAGTTTCGTAGTAGGGGTAATATATATATATTTATATATTATTATTGTTCCCTTGGGTTCCTAGTGGAACATAGGGCTTCAACTGCACGTCTCCACTTGCTTCTGTCTTCTGCTGTTCTTTTCACTTGCGTCCATGTTATTCCATACTGTTTCATCTCCTCCTCACACGATCTCCTCCATGTCACTCTACTGTTCTGTGTAGAATTCACTACCCTCAGTTATTAGCAACTCCTTTTGTTATACTTATCTGTCGTTTATAACACATTTCGTAGTATTTTCCCCCGTAATATAAGATAATTCGCCTAGCGCATACCATGTAAAAGTTTCATGAGAATTTAGCATATTGAGTTTTGCCAGCCGGCTATCTTCATTAAGATCATTCTACCCAACTTTATCGCTAATTTTTCCACTACTCATTTCACTCTGCTAAACAGACTATAACCATATTATTGACTACTTCTATATCCCATAATTTAAAAAAACTTAATTTCCTAGTCATTTGCAATAACCTATTTTGTAAATGCTTGAGCATATGAAGGTAATACCTCTCAGGTCGTCCTCGTGTATCTATGTGTCTGGTGACCTATTAGGAAGCACTTGTCATGAAAGCTGTTAATATGCAGCATGTCGTATGATTGAGATGGACTGAAAGCAATGCAATGTTACAGCTACAGTTATTGTAAAAAGATCTCAGAGATTAGTATCACAAGAAGAGAGGGTGGTTCATGTTAACCAGCAGATATGTTTGAGGCCACAAATATGAATCGTTCTAATATGTAGGACAGCAGCATGGACTTTTAACGGCTTGAGATCTGAGCATAGATCTTAATCTTAGGAACAGTAGTTATTATTTAGGTCAAAATAAGAAGTAATGCTTCTGCCCTGGACATCTACATTCTGCTCAGCTTCTTGTCAAGATGTAGTCCTGTTGGTCCTGTATAGATTCATGAGTCAGCATGGACTTTGTGCATCGGCGGCGCAGCGGTTAGGACGCTCACCGACCATGCACATGGTCCGGGGTTCGATCCCCGGCCGACGCACACCTGATGTCAATGGTCGACCTGCCAAATTTGGGTAACCAATATCACATGCTAAAAATTCCATAGTTATACCAAATACTGTGGAATCAAGCTATAAAAATTAAATAAAAGATAGTGCAGTTCCATCAGACTGCTGTAAATCTGTCATCATTCCAGTGTATCAAAAAAAGGAAAGAATTCCTGGATGGTCATAATGGAACTAAATGGATTTGTAAATATTTGGACCGCATATTACTAATGTCTTTGAACAATTTGACCGTCATGTCTAGTTGAATTCCAGCATAATCGGAAAGTCAACGCAAAATGTTTTGGGAACGTTTGAACTTTCAATTTTATGTTTATATACCTTATTTTTATATGCACCTGGTTGCATTTCCGTCACCCTACTTATTGGTTTACTGACACGATTTCCAACCACCCGACTAATGATCTGGAAATCCTATTGGTTGTTGGCTGTTCTAATTTATCAATTTAATTTGTGTCTGGAGGTTATTTAAAGCATCTATGTACTCAAGCGCTGTCAATCATTTTCACTGTTGATACGAGACAATAAAGGCTCTCAACGTCCACAGTCTTTCCTCTCTTGTCCTCTTGAGTCGCGTTTTCGGCGGTATCTTATCGTGTTGTATTGTTGCTAACAGTGGTTAAAACAATGAACTCGCGAGTCAACCTGATAGGAAGTTCCTTAGCGCAACTACAAGGGTATTTACGGCCGTATTAGATATGATTACTGACTTTAAGAAAACCAGAATATATGGTTGGAAAGTGCATACAATGAGTTTGTGCAATAGCCTTCTTTTTGGCCAATATTTTCAAATGGTGACTAAATATGATCAGTCATATATTCCTACTGATATTACCAACTTGCGATTTTTGAATAGTCACAATATGTATACGTTAGTATGTTGTTTACTATGTTGAAAATGTTAGTGGGTGGATGATAAAGCTTTTCCAGTATTTTGGTATCGTTGACATTAATCGTGAGTCTGCTTCATATGGTATAGATTGCTATAGCCGACCGTTTTTCTAGGCTCTCGTTCTACTCTATTTTAGGTGTGCATCCACTCTAACTTTTCTATATGATCCCTTCCTGTTTATTGACAACAGAAAAGTCTTGTTTTGATTTCGTAGACAAGTTGGGATGATTTTAATTAATTTTGCTGTGAAAACTGACAGGAAAAACTAGTGCAAATAGGTCACACCGGTTCCAAGTCATGGTGACGTTTCATTAGTCGAATATTCAATCTTCGGTAGGTTTTGGTAAACAGACATACTTATCGTTGTAGGAAACTTCTTTCACATCTTAAATGTCTGGTTTGTGTCTGGGGATTGAAAAGTACTGTGGTGGTTAATGGGTGTTTTTCCATTCCATTCACTTAGTTGCATAATTCCTGGCGAAATCTCAGCATGGTTACAGAAAATTTGTGTAGGATCCTTCAACATGATTCATTTTCGGCGTCAAAGTAATATCTGGCTACTCATAAAAAGTGTGCATGTACACTACATAGAAAATGGTAAGTATTATTGGTATAGAGCATAATTTGTTAGTTGAAGAAAGTAAGTCAATCAGTTTGTGGGTATCCATTAACTGCTGTGACTAGAACACGTTTTGCGTGTGCCGAGCAATCCTCTTCTTTGATTCTCAATGTTATCTAGAGTGAGGTTAGGTTGGAAAGAGGTAGGCGCAGTCGGATCAAGAAATGATACTGGTCGATAAAGACATTGAGTGTTGATCCGATGTGTTTGGATTTACCCCTACTTGGAGTCCTCGGAATACCATAAATTATTCGTTGAAGTGTTGGTGGTATGTCTCTAAATGATTCACGTTGACATCAATGTATTTACGTCTTATCATCCAGACTGTACGTCTTCACTACACATTTGTGTATTACTCTTTCTCCCACTCATTTTTCTACAGTCTGGTATCATTGTATTCATCTTCGCTCCTTTTGTGTATCTTTTTGAGTTCTAGTGACTAGTGGAATTTTTTCTGAGTTCTATGCTAATTTTATGTTCTTCCATGGACAGCCAATAGTTAATTTTAGTACAGAGACAGCATATAAAAAGTCAGTTTTCCGGAATACTTTCAGTTGACCTTCATTTTTCTGAACAATTGGGTTGTCCACCACTTAAGAAGGTGAATATCAACTCACCCACTTAACATTTTAGAGAAGTTACGTATAAAGATATTTTGGTAACAGCAGGAAAAAAAATACGAGTTGAAAGCCAGTTTGATGTCACTTTTAAGGTTTTCACATAAAACTGACTAATGGGTTATCAATTGCTTGAATTGTTTTCTTTATCACCACTTAAAGTGTGAAGTGTGCGCAAGCTAACACCAAGATGTGACATGTTAAAATATGATGAACTCCACAAGAAAATTTACCCTACTGTTTGTCCACTGTATTTAAGTCTATAAGTAAATTCTATCTCCATCTTTTAAGTGTGATTCATTTCTTGTGGATATAACATGACTTCTAACATTTTTATTAATTGTTTTGTACGTTATTCAAGAGAGCGACGACTGCAGGAGGAACGTGAACGAGAGGCGGAGCAGGCTAGGCAGCTTGAGGCTCGAGTCAAGGAAGCTTTTGAAGCAGCTTTAGTAGACAGAGCCGAAGATCTCCAGGCTGAGTTAGAAAGAAGATATCAAGCAGAAATCGATAAGAAGGTCAAACAAAGGCTTGATGATATTGAACGCGAATACCAAAGCAAACTGGAGGAACAGAAGCGCATAGAGGTAATTTTTGATCGAGTTTGTGTGTTTCTATACTGGACGTAATTCTGAGATTCTACGACTAGTTTTTAGGTTTTACTAGGTGGACATTGTGGTGCAATAGGTTAATTTAATTAGTTTTGATATACTTTGACACTTTTAGAAGCCATCATCTGTGACGTAGGTAGACTCATACTCCATACTTTCATTAGTATAAAAAGTTTCAAAGTATAACTATTTGACGTTTACTGACATTTGACTTTGCTTGTGCATTTCAGTGGACACTCACTTCGTCTATATAGATTATTGTCTTTTGATTTTAATTATGTTTTCACTGGAAGTCTGTAGCTGAAATGCGGGGCATTCAAGAGTTCATATAATAACCATAAAGAGTAATGGCAATGGCTAGTAAATTTTTGTTTGTACGTAAGAAATAAACCAAAAAGATTGTTATTTGACATTCACGGCTTGACTAAAGTTCTCGAGAGCAGACGAACTGGATGTCATAAGCAACGTCTAGGGAGACCATCGTTCACTTATAGTTTATAATTCTAGTGGGGATCCCTTAAAAATCTCATTTATATGCTATGCTACTAACTTCCGGGTTCCAGGGGTTTTATGGAATAAATTGAATTTTCCCCATCCCCAGTTATCTGTGTTTCCTAAAGACCACTGATGACCAGTGATTAGCTGATTTCATTGGGTTGTTTATTATGTATAACAAACTAGTTGTCGTTTTACTGCATCTAGTTCTTGACCTCTATGTTCGAGGAATGTTAAAGACAAACAGCCTGGACCTGTTGTACTGGGAACTATGGGAATGCATTGCATAATGGGTTGTTGTTGCATTGTGGTTTTCCTGTATATCTCTATTCTCTCGATACAATCGTCAACTGAATACATCTGTGAACAACTGAAAGTATTATATCCCCCCTACATTGGTCCAGGTGGTTTTCCGTAACAGTGTCCTCTGTTCTTAATCTGTAACAATGTTGCAAGTAACATGGTTCTATGGGTGAAAGCAAAACTGTCTCAATTATCGACTGTCACTGAAATGTCAGGGTGAGTTTTCAGAATTGTTTCTACGTAAACACGCTAGATCGGTGAGGTATTACCGTTAAAGTTCCGCTGAACAATTATTTGAGATAGCCGAGACATACCTTGAGCACACAGACTCGTTGTAGGGCCGCAATGCAAATGATTTTGGCATGCTTTTATGAAAAGTGGCGCCAATTTAGAGTCTTTGACTTACTATGAAGTGTATGGAATCCCTTCTGGAAAAAGTGGGGTAGCTGAAATTGACTACTAGGCTTTCTGTTATTGTAGAAAAGAGTTAGAGGTAGAAATCCACTCATATTATATCTTTACATAAGTTTTGTAAACGTCACCATCATATTCCATTTTTTCTCAAATACATTTGTCTCCTAATATCACTTATATATCACTGTCTTGTTGACTTCCATCTATTTCTTCGTTTAAAGTTTAGAAATTTGAATTGACACATGTTTATGCTTAGTTGTTTCTTGCTTATGTGTGTTACAATTAGCAGTTAAAATATGTTTGTTACAAATGCTACTAATCATGAAACAGTTATATGATAACGAGGCATTTACTTCTGTGCTGTTCATGCCATAGTGTAACGTCGTTCTCTTCTATGGCTTAAAAATGCTCTTTAATACTAATTATGTTGTATACAGGAAGAGGAAAAACGTAAACAAGCGGAACTGGACAAAATACTGGAAGAAAACAATCGTAAACTTATGGAAGCAAGACGCAGAGAGGTTAGTCACGAGCCTTTTTGCTACTTTTTCTACTGTACAACAACAACCTACTTTATTTCACATTATTAGTGTATTACTGATTCCCTAAATTCAAAGCCTACAGCGTCCTGTCATGCAGATTGTTTGTCATATCATTTGATTCAGAATCAGCGTAGGCTAAAATGAATTGCCTACATGGAAAAACGTGACAGGGGCGTTTATTAAAAATATTTAGATTGTAATGCATATGTTTATGTTACTCAGCAACCATAGACACGTTATAATGCACTAGACGACAAGGCACTCCTGTTGTGGATGTGCTAATAATATGATGTGGCTGTCAAAACCTCAGAAGTGGTACCAGGGTTTCTTATACTTGACTGAAAATCGTGATTCTAACCCAGTGAGAAATACGTAATGATCTCTGTAGCGATAAATTGCTCAAAGTTATAAGACAAGGCACACGACTTTCCAAAAAGATGACCACCCACTAAATCTGTATTTCTATTCTTTGGGTGAATATTCTTGTTTTCATACTTAGCATATATTTTCTAAAATAAGACGGTTAATTTCAATATCCATATGTAAGTAATTTTTACCACTTACACGATTGAATCAAAGCTACCAAACACAGTTTTCCCAATCTTCATCTGTGAACATTGTGTTTACATCTCCATTTTTAATGTAGGCGAATATTTTTTGAGTACTAGTTAAAAGTGATGTTGAATTTCAATATTAGTACTCTGAATCGTGTCATGAATTTGCGCAACACATTTCGAGCAATCTGATTATACACGAACTTGTCATAGGAATATATATGAAATTAATAAAGAGTTAGGAGGTGAGCAAATAAATTTAGGTCAAGTTAAAAGGACATATTCAAGATCAAAGTAACAATGAAGACCACTAAACCAAATAACAGAGGTAATAGTACATCTGCTATGGTATCAAAACAAAATTTACCAAGGAAGGTTTAGTGTGATGACGAATTGTTTTCGAACGCATAAAGGTGGTTTAAACTTCGTCACTGTCATCTAGCGCTTCCATAAACTTTAGGATATGCCCCAAACACGTTTTATAGAAGGGTTTAAAAGATGTGGTCGGCCTGCAAAACTTGGGCTACCGATATCCATGCTGAAAATTCCATACTTGTACTGAGGTGGCATCAAGCTGTAATCAAAATATTAAAAAAATTAAAAAATAAGTGTGTAAACGTCAATTTAATGTCGTGTCTCGATAATATGTTTCTCAATATATGTCCCCTGTTCTCACCATTAATGGGTTCTGGGGATTCCACTTGCTTCTGGAGCCATTTAGGAATATGCCCTGAAGCCCTTACTTGCAGAGATCGATAAGTCCTCACTATGTATGTGTGTCCACACGTACATTCAAATTGGTAAATACAGTGGGATGTGAAATCATTTTTCGCATGTTCAAAGGGCCTAGATGGATATTTTGGCCTCACATTCTTAGTTATTATGATATTAACTGCATGAAAAGTCTTTCTGACCGCAGCTTTCAATCTTTGTCTAGCTGTCAAGCTGTTATGATCCCCCATATGCGGTAGCTTGATGTACACGTATTTATTAAGGGCGAGTTGTAGAATGGGTCTTGGTGTTCTGACTACTTTATATCTCCTGATGAACTTGTCTGGATAATTGTTATCAACCAGAGTTTGTGTCAACTTTCCTTCTTCCTCATCAAGTGTGTCTTCAGTGCATACTCGTTAGATTCTACTGAAGAGGCAACTTACTAAGACTCTTTTGTACCGAACAGGGTAGAAACTGTGATAATTAAAATACTGTCCTGTCCAGGTAGGTTTTCTATAAATAGATCGTTTTATTGACCCGTCAAGTCGTCGACTAAGCAATATATCTAGGAAGGATAAAAACAATTATCTTCCTCTTCTACAGACGTAAGTGATACGCTATTCTGAACTTCAAGCAAATTTAACGAAATCAGAAAGGTTGTCTCTGACCAATCTTAAAACTGACGAAAACATAGTCATTGCGAAGTCCGAAAGAGGTAGCTCAACAGTAGTTATGACTGAATAGTACTGTTCTTTGAAACTTAATGGATGCGTAAAAGAGACGGATATGAAGAGACATAGAAACCTGTTTATACGGTGATAGGATTAAAAAATCTACAATCATTTTAGTACGCCGAATGAAGCTGTCACTGTCATTTGAAACGGTTTAATTTAATGGTCTAAAACTTACAATGCTCATAGAATTTAAAGTACTATGAAGATACACTAATCAGCAATCAATTTTAGGAATATTCCTACATGAGTTATTGAGATGTTCAGCACTATGCTATGTCTGATCAGAAACCATTCAAACTGTAGATTTAACCACTGATATATGTGTAAAATGTGGGCACTGTGGTAGTATGTAATTGCGTATTAATTTGTTTATTAGATATATCAAAGCCAAGGAAAAATGTGTAGACAAAAAAGGTAGCAGTGGAATCTCCAGTATCTTGGAGTGTTGCCATATAAGGGGCATCTACAGCTCTACGTGGGGTTCTTGATAAAGGAGAAGTTAGGGTGTCATTCAAACGTTCAAACTCAGGAGACAAGTTCTGTAGACTAAACGACCCTACTAACCCAATCAGCTTCACTCGAATTTAAAAAATGCACTGACTGCAAATTCAGTTCCTCAGGTCAGAGCAGTAAATCGGAGGTAGTCAGATTATCGTAACATTTGGCTAAGTGTAGAATGACTGATCCTGAAAAGATGGCCAGGTCGAGAAAAAACAATTCAGCAATCGCAGTGCACGTACTTATACACAAGGATGGGACAGAGCTGTAGATCTAAAAAGTAATAATTATGTGGGAACGGATGTTGATCATTGACTCCTTGTTCATCGAATTTACACCTAATGACGCAACAGTGATACCGGGGATATGGAAAGTATCATTATTAGTAAAACCAAAGGATAAGAAATATTGGAACTATATAAAGTGAATATGAAATCAATGTGAGCACCTTGAAATGATTATCAGCAATAAATTGTACTCGAGAAGTCATCGGTAAACTACACTGCCTCATTGTGTGTTCTATCAAATAGAAACTATCCTGTTTTAGAATCACACTCTACCCTAGTGCCTAAATGAGTTACTTATATACTTACTGGTTTTAACATAGAGTTGTCACATGTTGTACAATACGAGGTATGTTACAAATTCAAGTCACATTTCTCAACTCATGGCTTTTTGCGGTCAATAAAATTCAAAAACAGCTTACAACTGCTAGGCTTGACTCCACGTCATAATTAGTGGTGTCAGAGCACTCTACGTTTGCAAACGAACTTATAAATGGATTCACATATCTGGCGGTACATTTTTGGAAGCTTAACAAGTGATTTGGTAAAAGGTATCTCAAACTTTTGGTGACCTCTGTTCAGCAGTGTTGTTTCATCTCAAGTCACCATAAAGCCTTCGATATTAATTTCCAAAAAATTAACATTAGTTGTGCAATGTGCTAATATTTTTGTGTCCTTGAATTTTAGGAATATTATATGCAGCCTCTTTCGGGATCTGCAATGTGACAATGCCAGCAAAACGTTGTATATAAAAATTTTAAGATTTTATGCTTCTGTTGAATCATTTTCTTTTATGCGGTAAACGAGTTTGTCAAAGTTATCAACGCTACCAAATGTCATGTGTTTCGTTTTTATATCGACAAAAGTATCATGTATATATATTTTCTTCTTATTACTTCACTTTAACTGGCTGAAATAAAAAAAAAAGAATTCGCCTTCGGGATAATGTGAATGTATATTTGCTCATTTTTATAGTTTCATCACTTTGCATAAATGACTATGTTTGTAATTTTAATTTTTTCATCTAAATGAAGCTTTTTTCCTTTGCATTCCGAGTGGGACATAGAGCTTTAACATTAAGCTTTGAACTCTCAGTAGCAATGGTTTAATTTTTACGCTGTGGATCTAATATCCTCACGCTCAACCTTCACTCTAGCGGCTAAGCGAGGTTTACGAGTGCCTCCACCGGGACTGCAACCTCAGAACACGTGTGCGTTTGACGAGTATTCTTCCGCTGAACCACCATAAATCTGAATGAAGTACTTTTATTCAAACTTATGCTCTTGGTTTTCACTTTTATTCAGTGCACATACGTAAATGGTTAAGTAGATGACTCGAGATTGGAATCCATAATTTAAATGGTTACAATCTGTTTTACATTGTTATTGAAGGGTTTAAGTACTGGAAACTCAAGTAAAAAGGTGACACAAACATAGGTCCCACTAAAATTGCATACTGGTCTTGGTTGCCGAGTGTTACCTTTAGGTTACCTAAACAGAGGCTAAACAAATATTGTGAAACTGTGTGTTAACTAGATCTGCATTATGCCATAAACTATTGCATGACTAAAGTGATTTTAAATATATTTAAGTCATTAATTTGTAACTGTACTCATTGATGATTTGAGCTTGCAAAGGAGTCGTGAACAAGATGGTCGTAAGATGTAAAGGACAGTTTCGAAATTGTAGAGTAGATGAGTAAGGTTTAACGTAGCTTTTCAGATGATAGACACCATTTTACTGGGTCAGTTGAACACGAATAATTTCGCTAAATATATTACGATAGTTTGTACTTATTTCTGCGAATTTTAACTCAGAAAATAATACGATGAACTGTGACGTCCTTTGGAGAAAAGTAGAACACATTTAGCGTTAGAATCAAGAGAAGTAAACTAATTGTTTTGTGCATATCCTTGTTCCTGAATCCATATAAGGAGTAGCGTACTTTGCTGTCATAATGCAATGCAGCAACTAGTTAGTTAGACATATCTGCTTCAGTAAGGATGTAGTACTAGGTTGTTATCCAATCAACAGTCTAGGTATATTGAACTGACTGGACAGTTCAAATAGCACGACGTTCAAAAGTGCATCATTTCGTGTTGGCAGTTTTTGAAAAAGTAGAGAAAAAAATGTCGAATGAAGGTAGACTTAAATGAATCATAGGAATAACAATTACGTGAATTTAGTGGGGATTTTTAAAATCTGGAATATCACAATAGGTACGTAGGTGCAACTACGTTATTGTGAACGACTTTCAGTCAAGTTAGCAACTGTTTATAGCCATTGATTCCTAGCACCACGGACAGGCAATCTACACCACTTTATGTGACTTAGACTGACAGTTAGAGAATTCATGGATAAGTGCCGTGTTTTGATTTGACTACTTTTAAATCCTTTCCACCATGGTCCTATTTCAAGCGACATTGCTTATCGGTGGCTTGGCATACGTGTCATATGCCCTAACCATCTCAGATAATGGAACTTCGCAACCTTCCCGAGTGACTCCCACTCAGTTAAGTCCATGTGCCATGTTGCGTTTAAGAGACTTAACGCTGACACTTTTGATCAAAGGCAACTAGTTTCTCTATACCTCCGACTTTGAACAGTCATGACTCGTAGCCACATAGCAGAACAAGGCAAACTGCATCCTCGAATCGACAGCTAAATATCACGCTGGTGAAGATTACTCAAATTGACAAATGTCCCTTTAGTCAGCAATCAAAGTATTAGAGCTGATGCAATTTCCTGAATAAGTATAGTGGTCACCACGTCCAACTGTTTCATGCCCTGTCCATAAATTAGGAGCCAGCGCAGGCGTTTATAAAGCTCTGCACTTTATTAGCGTATTTACTTCAGTCGAAAATACCATATGCATACTATAGATCAATAAAACACCACTCTGGTACCATATCAAATCTGAAATATCGAAGTATGGAGGGTTCATGTCCACTAGTAAACCTCTGGTGGAACTAAGTGGGAAAGGTGATACTGGGCACCCTGGGAAACTATACTAGTTTTTAATGACAACTCACTGTAAGTTGTTGTATATGTAAGTTAATGTGGACGAGCAATATTATTTTCAATAAGTTTCCCTCGGGTTCTTAATATTATGAAATTTAATATTTGCTATCGTTACAATAATGGCCACCTGAACGACAGATGCATTTTTACGTGGAATTAAAGCTTATTTATAGGGTTACTAGATAAACACTTTAGTAGAAAAAGTTCTGGTCTCATTTCAACTATTAAAACAGACGTTGGTAGCAATTAGTCATAATAGATTCACAAATTGTGAGGAAGGAACACCAACAGATCAGCTGAAGGTTATAAAAGTTTCAGGCAAATGGTTAGTACTAAGTAATATGCATCGAAAATTATAGAGAAAGGTTCATCAATAAATAAATAATATGTGGGGCCAAACAGGGGTGCAGAGGACTAATCAAAGTGTACAAAATACCAAAACAATACTGTGAGTTAAAGAAAGAATATGATGTCAATATGCCACACAGACTGACAATGAGGTGTAAAAGTTGAAGATTAATTGAAAATACAGTTATGGTTCACTGCTACAAATTGATGTGACCCACTGATCCGTTTCGAAAGACCTTTAATTTGGCTATTATTCTATAAATTCGCCAACTCCTGGCTATGTGATTCCATATTAGTTTGTTTAATAGATGTACTTACTGCCAAGGTGCCCAAGTTTTACACATATAGTAATCTTGGCTATGTGATATACTCCATTTTCAACATTCAATGTAGGATCGTGATTTTCACTTACCTTAAATCCCTTACCTACTTACTGAACCCAACCTTAGATAGATACTGACTGGCGGAATCCCGACAACTGGATTATGATTCACAGTTCGCATCAGGTATTCGTCATGTATCTGGAGTGAACAACACGGTGGCAGATGCCTTGTCGCACATATATTCCCTCACTAGAACTAATGGCAAAGACCTCGTGAAACTGGTTCGCCTTTAAAAAAAGGATACCTGGCTTCCACATGAGATCTTGACAACAACTGCGATCAGCCGAGAAACGGTTACGCATCGATAAGTATACTATTCTTTGTGACATTTTCACGAGTACACCTCCCCCTATCTTGCTTGAAACTTATCACCGTAATGTCTATAGTGTTACGCGTCCAATCTGACCCGTATGTTCGTACTACTTTCAAGCTCATAACTAGTCGGTTTTGTTGGCCTGGTATTAATACGGAAGTAAGGGAATGGGTTCATACGTGTTCAGCTTGCTGGAAGTGCAAAGTAGTAAAACACACCAGAAGCACTTTTCTTATCCCTGATGCTCATTTCGTACACATTCATATAAGTCTGGTTGAACCTCTCCCAGCATCTCATAGATGCACTTATATTTTGACCTTCATAGACCATTTTACACGCTGGTTCGAAGCAGTATCCCTCAAGGATGTATCTGCTGAAACAGTCGCACGCGTCCTTGTCGATTGATGGATCACAAGTGTTGGATGCCCATCCTATATAACAACTGATTGCGGGCGGCGATTCGAAGGCAGCCTGTTCATAGTATTGACTAAAATCCAAGGCTGTGTGCACATTAGAACAACAGTCTACCATCCTCAAGCAAATGGTACGGCAGAACGTTTACGCCTCCAACTGGATTATCAGCAGCGAAAACTGGACATTAGACTGAATCACTATCGCTGTTTCATGTTGAAATATGAAACACCTTGCAAACTGATGCTGGTTGTACCACTGTTGGACTGGTATATAGAAAAACACTACAACTACCAGGTGAATTTATTTCCTCCTCTAGCTTCCCACAGCGCCTCGTAGGCCAGCAAACCTACAAATGCAATACTCTCAGTTTAACCCATTCCCCTCCCACCACAGTCCATAGACGTCTATGTTCACTAGTGTCCGAAAACTTCTCAGCATGCACTAGTTCATCGTGACTCTGTGCATCGTCTTATGGAACTCTTATACGATGTACCATACAATATCACTAAACATACGGATAAATTCTTCCTCTCAGACCGAAGAGACTGCAAAGACTCTGTCAGTATCTACTTAGACGGCACTCTTATGGGCCTCATACTAAGCCTTCAGAATAATACACAGCTAACTGAAGACTCACCGGTCCTCGGAAGGTGAAGGCGACCGAACCTTAATCTAGACTCAAAGGAAAACACGTTCTGGAATAACTGGGAAATTCGCAGAGCACCTTCATATATATCTTATATAATAAGACTATTGTGCCCCACCCTAAATTTAAAGAGTTTTACTAGTAGTGTCACCATCAGGTTTCCACTCCCGGCTGCTTTCACCTGCAGCATTTATTCATCCTTATTGAGGTGGGGGCACTTGGCTGGAGGTTCGCGGACAAAAATCCATTCCCTTTTGCACGCCGTCGTGGTACGTTCATTCGTGCATGATACTTAGCTAGTTAGGATATCATCCTCGCGATATGATTTGGCACCTGATGTCTATTTTTATTTTGAAAAGTCAGTTTGGTATTTTTATTTACTTTTGGTTTACTCAGAACAAAACTACAGGAATTCTGGGTACAATAACTTGCCTTAGAACGCGTCGTACTCTCCGTAAATATAAGCACTCCGTTCATCTTCTAGGCATTCAACACATAATAAATTTCATTAAAAACATGCGTGTCGCTTGAGATCCTGAATATTTCTAATACTGAACTGGCTGAAAAATTAGATAACTAGTTGTTTTATGGGTGCGTGACACATTGTTATTTTGGATTACCCTTGAAATATCGTTCATACGTCAGCGCATATACTTATCTCACCAGCCAGAACGTCTTAACGCTTCAACAGACGCCTAACACTGAACTGTAATGTCCACCTTTTCTTCTAAGTTTTAAGAAAACCATCCGTGTTTTAGACGACCTAGACGGTAACACTTACAACAAGTGCTCACTTTGATCACGTCTTCACTTAGAATTCCAACGACACAAGCAGCCAACAATTATTTAGAATTTGCACCCTGCCTGTACAACACAGCATTCTATGGCTACTCAGATGTAGTGAGTAAGTGAGGGATTCAGAAGAATAGGATGGGTAACCAACTAGGAACTATATCTTGTCTATGATTTGTAGAGCTTTCTTTATCTACTCTGGTACTGCCAGGATTCGGTTACGCTATGTGATCAGTTAGAATTTGAAAAAACTTTTTCCTGGTACAATTGCTGAGTGGTAGAGCAGACCACAGA